ACCCTCACCTGGAGAATGTCCCGCAGCCTCCTCCACAGGGCTTGACTGTGTTCATCCAGCCCACGCCATGGCTGAAAGGGCCTTCCCTGGTGGTCCACAAAGGTGTCCCAGCAGTGCCTAAACCCTGAAACCAGACAGCGGAGAGAGTCAGCCTCCAGCTGTGGGGAGGGAGAGAAAACAGGGTCTATGACTCTTGGGGACAGACTTGCACATCATAATTTCAGTCCACTGCTTTTTATTTCCTTCCCTAGGGACTTGGCTTCCTCAGCAAACTCTTTCTTCCCACTGGAAGCTGAGCCAGCCCAGTTCTTCTCTTTCTGGAAGCCCCCAAGTCCTTCTTCCACTTCCAAACACCTTCCCTCCCTCCCCGGGACCCCGTGTCCTGGCCTGGACTGTCTCTTCCAATAGAGCCCCAAGTGTGGTCCCAGATCTAGCCATGGCCTCTGCAGGCAGCAAACGAAGGCCTCTCTACCTGCTAATCCTCTGCACCCCTTTCCAGCAACTTGCCAGGGTCCTGTCTCTATCCACCACCCCCGTCCACCCCAAGGGTTCCACTCTGACCCTCGAAGTTCATGATGCCGATCTGCGCCCCAGCCCCCTGCAGTGTGCGCAGCCCCTGCTCGTATCCTGGGAGCCAGTCATAGATGCGGGCAGCGAAGATGCGCAGCTGCACGTGGCTGTTCCAACCCAAAAATGCAGCCACTTCTTGGGCACAGTTGCAGCAGGGACTCCAGGAGATGAACCAGGTGACCCTGTAGCGCAGGGCGGGGTCCAGCTGCCAGGAATTCAGCAGGTCCAGGAAGCACAGCTCTGCATGGCGGCGTAGCCTGGGCTCATAACCACCCTGTGAGAAAGAGAAAGAGAAGCGTGAGGTCATTTGTTGGGGACAGGGAGGGAGGGCAGGAGCAGGCGCAGGCTGGCGAGGCACTGGCTCCAGCACAAAATTAGAGGGCACCGCATGTGGTGATCAAGATGAATGGCTTTCAGCACAATCATTAACATTTCGAAATTAATGCTGAAACTCCAAGATAAACAAAATATCAACCATTTAAATGCAGGTAGATCAGGAGCAATGGCTTTTGACTCAGCCTCGGCTCCCATGTACTCCACGCAGCACTGTTACGTGTGTCTTCATTTTAAATGCTCATGTTTCGTTCTCCAAGGAATTTGTGCATTACATTAGGATTTTTAAATATTTCTTTCTAATAAGATTTCTCTGATTATTGAATTTTGAGCCCCCTCTAATTTTGCTCTACATATAAGTACCTTCGGGACCCTCACCCAGGTGGTCTCTGCAGGGAGGAGCTGACGAGCTGGAGGAGGGACGGGGAGGCCAGCTGAGCCCAAGGTCGGGGGACTGATGCCAGTGACCTGGGTGTGCTCCTTCATGGGGGGATTTACCCCCTACCCAGCTATTCCCCTACCACTCATCCTTGCTTGTGTACCAGTACTTCTAGAAGCTTCTACCCTGTGCTTCACCCTGTGCACAGACCCAGAGTGATACAGACTCCTCCCAAAGGGCTCCCTGTGCCGAGAAGAATGGGCGGATGGAACCCTGGCATGTTCCACTCCGAGGGGGGACGTCCCTGGGTCATGGGATGATTGTCATTGTTGTGACTCATAGAATTATGGAGACTTCCCTAAACTGCAGAGTGCTGGGAGCAGGTCAGTCTAAGATGCCAGGGCAGAGAGGGAGCTGACGGGAGGGTGCGGAGAGGGTGAGGGGTGTGATGGCTGACCCAGGAAGAGTGGAGAAGGGGCCGTGCGACGTCCCTGGGGAAGGTGTAGCCCCTGAGACAGTTGTGGGGACCAGCAACCCTGCAAGTCCCTCCAAGGCAGTAGGTGTGTCCTGCCAGGCCCATTTCCTAGTAGTGACCAGAGCAGCCCCACACCCTGGACCAGAGCCCAGCAGAACTGAACCTCCCCTGCCAGAGCCCGTCCTGAGCAGGGCCAGGGAAGAAGGTCCCTCGGGCTCTGGGGCCGCCTGGCCTGGCCAGTCCCTGCTCCTCCCCAAATGCCTGACAATCCCTGACATCCTGACATGGTGCCCATTCCCTGGCCTTCTTGTGGGCTCCACCGCGGCCAGGATAGGATCTCAGGACGGCCTCTCCTGCCTCTGTCTCGCTTCTGCCAGGAATACGCCCATGAGCAGGTGCTGCGGCCCCTGCCCTGTGATGTCACATAGGCCCTAATGCTCAAGTTGACCCCTTCTAAAGATGTTCTCTGTGAGAGTCGTTTTCAGGAGGGGAGTCCTGGGCATGGTCCTCAGGAACCTCTTTGGCCTTGGGCACACCTGACACCCCCTGGTCCTTGTGTAGACGCCTTTTCCTTCTGCTCCTGACTCCTCCTCAGGGACACAGAGGCAAGTAAGTGGCTGAACCTTGGAACCAGAGGTGACACTGGGTAGTGGGACCAGGCCCTGGAACATGTGACCAGTTTCCAATGTGGGCTTGTAGCCACCAAGCATGGAGAGTCACCTGAGCCCATGTGTCCACCTGACTTCAGGACAGAGCGTCAGCAGCTGCAGGGACCAGAGGTGACAGGGACTATGGGACACACATGTGCCACTGAGGGCCTCTACCTGAGACTGTGCCTGGACTGGGGAGGGCACTGACTCGATGCAGTTGGGCCGGGAAGGTCACCTGGTTACGCAGGCAGCCAGGTCGGATACATGTGTCACCATTCAGGAGGTCCACCTTGTAGCACAGGTAGGTCTGGTGCCGCCCAGAGACCAAAGGGTCATTTATAAAGTTGTAAGTGAATGTGTCTTCATCCAAGCCCCTGTGAACAAAGGTGGGAGAAACTCAAGACAGAGATTCCTCGTAAGACCACCCCACACTCCTCCCCCGCTCCGTGCCGTGCTCCTCCCCTGCTCTCCGTGCTGCACCACTGCTCTCCGTGCTCCTCCTCTGCTCCGTGTGCTCCTACCTGCTCCTCATGCTCCTCGCCTGCTCTCCGTGCTTCTCCCCTGCTTTCAGTGCTTCTCCCCTGCTCTCTGTGCTGCACCCCTGCTCTCCGTGCTCCTCCCCTGCTCTCCATGCTCCTCCCCTGCTCTCCGTGCTGCACGCCTGCTCTCCGTGCTCCTCCCCTGCTCTCCGTGCTTCTCCCCTGCTTTCTGTGCTTCTCCCCTGCTCCGTGTGTTCTCTCCTGCTCTCCGTGCTCCTCCCATGATCTCCATGCTCCTCGCCTGCTCCCCACACTCCCTTGGGGTTGGCTCCTTAGGTCCAGGACCCAGGGGTTTGCTGCTGCTTCACCTCGAGGCCCGCACTGCCTTTTCTCTGTCCCATTTGGGCCTTGGGGGCCTGTCTTATGTTCTATTCTGCTTTTTGGAAAAGCTCACACAGTCTCCGGCCTCATGTTATTTCCTAAAATCTTACTTAAGTGTGAACGTGACCACTGGACGTGTTCCTGCGGCTCCCCCTGCAGCACCCTCCCCAGGCTGCAGCCCACGCCAGCTGCTTCTCTGGGAGGGCTGGGGGTGAAGGGGAGTGACGGGCTGGGGACTCGAGGGGCAGCAGGGGTGGATGGAAGGGGTGGCAGCGTCAGGTGAGGGGTCACCCAGGAGGCCGACCCACAGAACAAGGACTGCTTTGTTCCATCCACGCTCCCCACCCAGGCTCGGCCACAAAGGCCCTCGGTCACTGTCACGGGCTGGATTGGGTCCCCCCAATGCGTGTGTGGAAGCCCTAACCCCGGTACCTGAGGGGATGAGAGCACTTGGAGACACACACTTTAAAGGGTGACAAGTTAAAGTGAGGCCGATGGTGTGTCCTGACCAGACCTGACCGGTGTCTTACAACAAGAGGCAATCAGGACACAGAGAGACACGGGGGACGTGTGCGTACAGAGGAGAGACCATGTGAGGACACAGAGAGAGGGCGGCCCTCTGCAAGCCAGGAAGAGGGGCCTCAGGAGAAGTGACCTGCTGAGCCCCTGATCGTGCACATCCAGCCTCCAGAACCGGGAGAAGTCACTCCCTGGTGACTGGCGCCTGGTCTCGGGCGCTTATTAAGGCAGCCCTGGCAGCTACGGGTCACCTTCACGGAGGAGGTGCCTTCTCTGATAAGTCAAGGCTGCCTCGCAGGATATTTCTCAAAGCTTCTGATTTTCACGCTTATGTGTTTTCGTGCCCGTTTATGTTCAGTGTAACACAAGATTCGGTTGCTATGTCGTGATGGCAGGAGCCAGGTTAGGGGGGCTCTGAGGCTGGGGGGAAGGAGACGTTGGGCTGCATGGAGGTGGCTCCGCAGGGAGAAAGGGGTCTTTTCCAGGAGGGGCCCAGGGAAGCAGGGAGGAGACGGTGATGGGGAGCAGCCCAGGGCCGGCCAGGCAGGAGGCCAGGCAGGGAGGGGAGCTGGTCAGAGTGGAGGGAAGGCCTGAGGGGGCGAGCCGAGGTGACAGGGAAGCTGAGGTGACAGGGGGAGGTGAGGAGCCCCAGGAAGCCCCTCACCTGAGAATGTCCCCCAGCATGGAGTTCAGGAAGTGAAAAGTTGTCGTCACTTTCTTCCAAGGCCTGAAGGGCATTCCCTGGTTGTACACAAACTCTCCCCAGCAGCTTTGAAATTCTGAAATAGAAGAGGCAGGAAGCAGCCAGGGCTGAGCGGGCCCTGCTCCCTGACCTCCGGGCCGCCCTCCCTGGGGCCTGTCTCCTGGCGGCCAGTTGGGATCAGGGCTGGCTCCGTCCTGTGCGGCTGCCCTGGGGCCCTCATCCTGCTGCATCGCACACCTGCCCTCCCTCACCCTGGCCCCTCCCAAAGCCCAGAAGCCCGCCCCCACTTCTCACCTTGGAAGGACATGACGTTCACCTGGGCCCCTTCCCAGCACAGCCTGCGAAGCCCCTGCCTGT